GTGTGATGTACTCTAGGTGACCCTGCTCTGGATGTTTTGCTCAGATTACTCGTAGTCTTGATCAAATGCCAGCCCCTAAGATTCTATGATTCTATGATTACAGTAAGTACGTTTACAAGACTGAGGCCACTTAACAAAGTACAGGGAAGAGTAGGTGCTGTATTTATTTCTTCCTTTGTAAAACAAATACTACAGCTTGCAATTGTTAAAGACATGATCATCAATTTTCTAACAGGAAAATTAATTTTAAGTCAGTGCTTTGGCTTGGGTTCATATTTTGTGGAAAGAATTTTGTCTTCCAGATTCCTAATGAATGGCCAAGCAAGTATCTAGATAGTTAATAATACTGCTTAGTTGCCAGAGTCAGATAAAGCTGCTGTCTAATTTATTCCTGTTCTGAGCACCTGACCACTAGAAGAATGATAAACCATGAGAAAGCCTTAAGAGGTGGCTGGTTAGTTGAAGTCATTGCCTGCAGTTTTATACATTTCTCTCTCTAGCAAGTGATCCTTCTAACATTTCCCTACTTTGGCAGAAAATCAGACGCACGGTCATACCCCCTGCTGCCCCCCTCCCACTAGGCACCTGTTTTGAAAGTAAAATACCTTCCCAAGGCACTGCACAGCCAAGAGCTTCTTCCTGGGTTTATGTATCCACAGTGCACTAGAAAAGGATGTTGTGTTTTCCTGTGTACCCTAATGGCACATAAATATGCCCACAAATATGTGTCAGTGAAACATCTGGACTGTCTATATAGCTTTTCAAAGTGGATAGAGAGAAGTGATGCTGTGCAGAGCAAAGGAAAAGATTGCTGTTCTGTGCCTTCAGTTGGTTTCATTCAAGTGACCATCAGCAGACAGAGAGTTCACTTAAGGATTAAATGATTTTAGGAGAAAGACTCTTTACAGGTGATGGAATGAATGAAGCAATAAAGTGTTGCATGGAAACCTATCTCTGTCAGCCCTACAGCAGGACAGGCTTCAGTTGTAAGTGAGTTTAACAAAATTGTCTTCTAGTGACATGTTCACTTGACAGGTAAAATCCTCCTTATCCAGGAATGAATACAAGTAATCAGGGTAAATACCAAGAAAAATGTTAAGTTTCTGCTTATCAAATTAAGGATGTACATCTAGGACAACTCAGTCCATGCTCAGGATCTTTTCATGAGTTAATTGCCTTTATTTGGAAATCAATGGAAAGCCTTTCATGGGCTTTTCTACTGCACGTGCTATTAAGCTGTCTGGAGACAGTTATGGCCTTTTTCAAATACACATCCCTCTGACAGTAGTAAATTCCCATGTCACTTCTCAGGAGCAAGTAGACAACAGAGGTGAAAAATTATGCTAATGAACTGCAATAACCAGTCCCTTTTTATGAGAGCACATATGCGTAAGATCCTGAATCCATAGTGTTGTTTTACCTTGTTCAGCTTTTTGTTGGTAAACCAGAGCACAGAAGCCAGCTAGCAGTTCAGTACAGCTTTATGCTTCTGAAGAGGCCCTTTGGAACCAAATATATGGGTAAAACTGTTAAAGTGTTAGATAAGGTTCTCAGGTTACCATGGTTACTTGACAGGTTTTTTTGCATTGTATTGTAGATTAGGATGCATAGGATGAAGTAGCCAAAACAACTAGGAAGTCCAATGCATATAAACTACATTTCCAAACCAAACAGCGTTGCCAGATAGAAAGATAAATAGCTCAGGTTATTGGCTGCTGACAAATCTATGAATCAATAAAGGGAGGCCTGGAGGAGATTTAGAGTGTGTGTGATTTGAAACCCTGTGTTATTTGGGGTAGCTATCTTCATTTTAAAAGACAAATTAACTAAAAAAAGAAAAATCCTCAGTAATGTAAAGAGTGAAATTATTTTCCATAAGCTCTTTCTGGTATTGAAATCTGACATTTGGCTTTGAGACCTTCAACAAAGAAGGTTGATGAAACACAGATAATACATTTCGTGCACTTAGGCTGGCAGTAGCACTTACACTGGAAGCATTTTATTCCCATGGAAACCTATTTGCATTTGGGCCAGAAGTGACTTTTTTCTCCCCTCTGTTAGAGCTGCTGATGTTTTAGCATAATATAATTGCTGTATATTGACAACAGATTTGAAAAGTATTTTTTAAACGTTGAGTAGCTGAGCATATGTATAATGGAGATGTAGTTTGTGCACTTTTTCTGTGTGGGATGAAGGCACGTTGCTGAAAAATGCAGGGCAGCTTTTGATCTCCTATTATTTATCTCTAACAGAAAGAAAAGAAAAAAAAAAAAGTGAATTAAAATGTTTATCCAAACATTTTTTTAAACAGGTAACAAAAGAACTGAAACAGTATGACAATAAAATTATAGAGTGCAAGTTTGAGAACAACAGCTGGGTCTTCATGAGACAGAGAATAGACAAAAGCTTTCCAAATGCCTACAGCACTGCCATGGGTGAGTAGAACAATTTACTTTTTAAAATTGAATTTTTTAAACTCTGTTCCAGTTTAAGGAGGAAAAGCACTTTGTGTTCTCATTTCTAGGTTGAGTTCTGGCCTTTAACTTATGATAGTAATACCTCATCTTACAAATGCTGATGTCATATTTGGCTTTTACATAGAACGAATCCTTGGGCTTCAGGGTTGTTTGATGAAGTCAGTTAAACAAATACCATGGTGCAGTATTTAATGGATAATGCAAAAGTAAGTTCTTAAGTCTTTGTAGAACTGAAAACACTTGCTCAGAGATTTTGCAAGGCAGAACATGCCTCTTTACTGACACGCAAGAAAGTTTTTAGTTGCCTTGCAAACAGCAGTCAGCTAACATCCATCTGTCGTGTTGTTGGGATGTAATGCGAACTGACACACTGTGAGTTGAATTTGTTGAACAAAAAAATCCATGATGTTTCAGCTCTATTCAAAACACCAAAACCATTATTTGGCAGATGGGCTAGAAAATTAGTAGGAGAAAATGTTAGCTTCAGTTTTCTACAGCAGTCGTACAAACAATGAAGAGGGAAACAAATGGAAGGTGGAGGTATATCCCTGCAGAAGTGTGATCCTTTTAAGTTCTTCTACCAGAAAACATTTGCCAAGTACTGTAAATGAAATGATGTTTGCTTTCAGGTGAAGCATAAGTTTGAATAGAGTTGTGCAAGGCTGAATAGGAATAGTGATGTTGTTACTCACTTCTGTTAAGTGCCAAAATGAAGTTTAATCATATTTAAGGCCATTTACCAGAGCATGCACAGATGATGTAGGATTTTCTCTGAACCATTCTACTTGCATTTCTGCCTAAGCAGTGAGTAGATTTTCCTGAATAAACAAAATGTAGTCATTTTGCCACAAGATAATAGCTCTGTTGGCACCTTAGGGAACCAGCACAGAGTAGCTGGAATACTTGCTGAGCAGTCCTGTGGGGAAAGAGGAATGGGCCACAAAGGCCACAGAATTACGATCACATCTCCTTTCACCATTACCTCAATTTCTCTTATCTGTTTCAGTTCACATTGTTTCAATAGTTAGTTTTCCATGGAGTTGTCCCTTCTTTGAGGAGTGGCATATTCTTCTTTCCTTTGTTCTTAAGAGCATATGTACCTTCCCTTTTTCTCTTCTCACTTTTTCCATTTGTAAAGCAGTTACGTTATTCCTGACTTCTTTTTTTTTTTTTTTCTGCCAAAACATAATGAATTTCCTAAAAATTAAAAGAAAATCAAATGTTACAGGAAAAACTGTTCTGTAAGAAATATTTCAAATTTTCCATGAGTATTTGCAGAACAGAAAGGTTTCTTTTGGCTTTAAATTTTCACTTGTGACCATTTTTCAAAATCTCCAAAAGTTGTATTTTCTCAGTTGAGGCTTCTGTTGTCCCCTTCCCTAGACCCTTTTTTCTTTACTTGCTTTCTCTAATATGGAGATTTTTTAATATTTTTTTTTCTCCATGGTTGAAACAAAATAAGTGCCTGTCTCCATCTTGCTTTTGGACTTTAATACCTTTCAAATTGAAAATATAAGTGCTTTTTGAGTAATTAAGCTGAGACAGCCCTTAAAAGTTGATATAGGGTCATACTTGCTGCCTCATAGCACAAATTCTGTAACCAAGCTATTGACAATCAGAGCTTTCCAACTGTTGAAGTTACATACAGCACAACTTTTAAAGCACCTTTTCACCAAAAAAAAATAAATGTGAGAAAAAGAAATAATGTTAGGGAAGTGTTTTATTAATTTTAAAGTAATGCTTTCGGTGGTTCTGGAATTCAGCAGGGAAGAAAAAATGTTTTTAAGAGTCAGGAAATTATATATTGATTGTTATGCATAACAATGCTATATTGTAAGTGCATTTTAAGGAGTCTCAATGTTGTTTAGTACTCTAGGGAGTCAATAGGTTGTTTTACATGGAAATTGCAGCCATACCGTGATGAATCCTAAATGATTCTGTGCTATAAATTATCCTCTAATAATTTTGTACTTTCTTGTATGTTCTGTGCATTGTGGATTTTTGGTATCTATAGTACTCAGTAGTGCAAATTCAGAGGCTTTCAGAATTAATCCAGTCTTGCTTCTGGCAGTTCCAGTTTGATGAGTGTTTAAAGCCGTGTTTCACCACATCCTTGCTTGCTCAATAGGATATCAGTTCTTGGCATTTTTATAGTCACTCCATGAAGCCTACACACACACACACACTTCATCACAGAATCATCAGAGTTGGAAGGGACCTCTAGAGATCATCCAGTCCAACGCTTCTGCTAAAGGAGGATCCCCTAGAGCATGTTACTCAGGACTGCATCTAGGCAGCCTGTTCCAGTGCTTTGTCACTTTCACAGTGAAGTTTTTCCTCATATTCAGGTGGAACTTCCCATGTTCCAGCTTGTGCCCATTGCCTCTCATCCTGTCACTGGGAACTACTGAAAAGAGTCTGGCTCCATCCTCCCTGCACCCACCCTTTAGATACTTACAGGCATTAATAAGCTCTCCCCTCAGCCCTCTCTTCTCCAGGCTAAACAGTCTCAGTTCTTTCAGCCTTTCCTCATAAGGGAGATGCTCTAATCCCCCAGTCATCTTTGTTGCCCTCCACTGGATTCTCTCTAGTAGTTCCCTGTCTCTCTGGAACTGGGGGTCCAGCTGTTTGTTTAAACAAGAGCAATTCCCATGAGGCAGAGCCCCACTACACTGCTTTGCTCGCTGGGGGGCAAAGCACAGACACTTGACTCCTGACACAGCCATCTTGTGGAAGTCCACCTGTAAGGCTGAACACTTGAGCAGAATTATGTTATTTATTTTGCAAAGAGAGGATTAAATTATTGAAGTACAAACATCAACAAATTGGTTTAGTAACTTAAGAATATGTTCTTTGTTCCCAGCTGTTTGCAATAGCATCCAGAACCCGGTTACGAAGGAGATGCTGTTTGAGTTCATTGACAGATGTACAGCAGCTTCTCAAGGACAGACACGGAAACACCACCTCGATCCTGACACTGAACTCATGCCACCCCCACCACCCAAAAGGCCACGTACCATAACGTAAGGCCTTGTTCTCAGCAGAGAGTGTGTTTACAGTTCTGCAGGAGGCGACGCGCAAGTGTGAAGGCTGGAAGAACAGAATTCTGAATGGCTGTAAATACTCGGGTGTGGGGGGGTTTGAGTTGTTAGTTTGGTTTTGTTTTCTGTTGTGTTTTTTTTTTAAAAAAAAAACAACAAACCAACAAACCTACATATGAATGGACATTGTTTCATAACTGATAAATTCAATCTTACCTTATGGTATTTGAAGATGAAATTTCCAAAGGTTTAAACAAGAACAGTATGATGAAGTCCATGGAAAGCCACCTTGTTTATATGCAGATCTCTTTTCACCTTTAATTTATAATGTCAGCAGTCTGGAACTGAGAAAACATTGGGATGCTGTACCTTTTAGAGGCTGTGTTTAAAAAAAACAAAACAACAAAAAAACCCACAAGTGTTTTTTTTTATAATTGTTATTCAACTGGTTGCAATTTGTCACCCGTAGTATAATTGGTCACAGTTTCCCTGCATTTCTGAGACTTGTGTTGAACAGCAAACAGCAGTGTTGCTTGTGCTCTGTGTTGGTTGAAAGCTAAGCTGCCTTAGATTTCATTACATTCAAAATTAGCTGGGGTTTGTTGTTGAAGTATTAAGGAAGTTAATCCTTCTTGTAATAGCATCCCTTTGAAAGGAAATGCCCTGGGTTTTTGGTTTTTCCCCCATTTGAACATAAGACACCAAGTGTACAGAGGGCTGGTTTTAGCTTTGCCTTTTTAAGTTTATCTGTAGATGAGGAAAACACCAAATTCTTAGTATTATGGTCTCCGTTAAGAGGCTGTTCCTCATACAAGGCTTAGTTCTCCACAGTGATACCACTGTAAATATTACTGAAAAGTACATATGCATCACTGGGATATGCAAGAGTAATTAGGAGTGCTAATCATGACGTTTAGATCCATGACATTTTGCCACAAAATGGCAAAAGAAATGCCAGACAACTCCTGAGTAACAGAGGAGGGAGTTTCAGTGGGAGGGCACCACGTTAGGTGGGAAGTGTCCCAGGGAACAAGAGTTGGGGTTGGCTGTCCTGTGGCACTGTCCTTATCCCCTGCCTGCCTTTCTTTCTTACCAAAGGAAGAACCCCACAAATGCCCTGATGGCTCTTGTTGCAGCACAATGGCAGATGGTCAGAACAGTAGTCCTGAGAAGCTGCATTCTGGTTGTGTATTGGAGGAGTTGTTCTGAGCTGGGATTAATTGGAAATCAAATGCAAATTCTAAAGTTTACTGTGCATTTATCAAGCAGGGATCAAATTGGCTCTTTCTGTAGTTTACTTAGTGTGTGGGTCGTCAAGTCATTCAGCAATCTAATCAGTAAAGCTCATTACTTTGTTATAACTAAAATGCATTTTTGTTTAAATGCATTTTTAATGTCTGTAGGCAAAATGAACTCCTATGGAAACTTGAGGACTACTGTGCTTTGTGGTGGCTTCTCTAATTGTTTGAACCTATTGTAGAAATGCACATGGCATCATTTAGATGGTGTTCCTAGCATCTCTTTTTTGGGATACTCTGTATTTGTTTTAGAGAACTGAAGGAGTTATATAAGTTACTTGTTATACTATGGTAAAACTTGAGGGGAAAAAAGCATTCATCAAAGTTCTTTTTTTCAACTGTACATAGTTTCTGCATATTATCTAATGAAAAGATCCAACCTCACCTATGCAAGGTTGCAAAATTCTCCTAAAAAGAGCCTTATTAATTTGATGTGAAAACCTATGCAGCCTCTGTGCATCTTGCATTGAAACACACAGGTAACTATTTTTCACTCCATATAAATGATTTCCCCTAGATTATACCTGTCATTGAGGTTGTCGTAGCAGACGCTTTGCCATGGTTCTGTGGCAATTGCAATGTCTGTGGTGACCATGATCTTCTCCATGAAGTTAGGACATTTCATTCTTGTGAGGATGTGTCCAGGTTATTTCTATCTTTCTCCTTCCCAGCCCCTTGCACCTTGTATTTCAGCAAGGCCCAGCTTCTGGTCTTCAGAGCTGCAGCACAGCAGGCTGTCTTCCACGTGCATTCCACCAAGTCCACAGATGTGTTGTGGCCCTTGTCTTTTGACAGTGTCTTTCTTTTTTTCCACACTCAGCTTGGGATGGGTATTTGGAAAGAATAATGACTGAGAAGTTTGAGACTTCCACATTCATGTTTGATTATCAAACTCTTCTTGCACTATGACCTGTAGCTTTTTAGAGAGGTCAATCACCTTTGCTTTTCTGGAAATGGAAGCTACTGGGGAAGGGTTGAATGAAGAACCTGACGAAAGGAAATGGAATTTCACTTAGACCAGATGGGTTTAATGCTGTGAGAAATGCAAACCTCCTTTCTCTGCTACTCTGATATTCAAGAGGTGGAAGCTAAGAAGCAAAGAAGAGTTTGTGCCAGGAAAATAACAATGATAAAAAAGCCCCCTAACCTGTCCAATCTTTGGTGTACAGCATGAAAACCTCCACTGTTTTGTCATTTGTTAAATATATAATTAAAATTTAGTTTCAGTGGAGTTTCCAGAAAATGTAAGTACATTCCTCTACAAACTGTGTATTAAGTATTTTAATAAAGTCAATGGTTTAAAATAATTCTGCTAAGCATGTGTTTAAGAAATATTGATATGGTGCTTAGGGACATGATTTAAGTACTAAATGGGTAGATTTAGGTTATGTTTGGTGGATTTAGGTTATGGTTGGACTTGATGATCCTCAAGGTCTTTTCCAAGCAGGATGATTCCCTGATTCTGTGATGCCTTCCTGTGCTTTCCTGGTACCAGTGTGAGCACCAGGATGCTGTGGTGGTGTTCCTGTTCAGTCCTTCAAGAAATTTTTCCATGTTTTTCAGAGGCTTTTCTCTCGGGTAAAAGCCCCCAGGCCAATGGTGGCCATGATTGGTTATGCCATTTTGAAATACAATTTATTCTTTCTGTGACCAGAACCAGAAGGAAATGGAAAGGCCCATGAAGAACACATTTGACAACCACTAGCCTTGTGTACCTTACCCATTTGGCGTTAAGTGTAGTTGCAGGGAAAGCTGTGCAGGAGGCAGCTACATTAGTCTTCCCCACTCGTTTATCATCCAGCATGACCCTACTAAAGCTAGTAGCCCACCTACTTGGACCAACTCCTGGACACATATTGTAATAGGGCAGCTTCTTGTTTTAGGCTGCAGCTGTCTAGACTGCATCTTTCAGGAGCTAAAAATCTCATCTTGACTTAAAAAATTTCCTTCTAATTAAGATCCTGCTGCCACGGCTGGGATGTCCTTGTTATGTGTACAATTCTTGTGGTGCTTCTCTCAACCATTTCTGATTTTTCTAGTGTTTTGAGTATGAATGCTGAACCAGATCTGGCAGTCAGCACTCCTGGAGAGGTACGGTAACTTTTCTTACCTCTACTCACTGCTCCCCTCTGTATGCATTGAGGAAGCAGGTTGGTGTGTCCAGCCAGCACATCGCACTGTGTGGTTTGTGTTTGCCTGCTTGTTTACAGGAACAGTCCTTCAGGATTGCCACTCCTTAGCGCAACAGATCCTCAGTTTTGTGCCCAAGATGTGTGACTTTATATATGCAGAATGTGTAATGCATAATTGTGTCTTACAAACCTCAGAGAATTCAGAAAAGTGTTGGCACATTGTCACCATTTGACTTGGGTCTGACAACAACGCTCTCGATCCCCTCCCCCTCCCACCCAGGTAGGGAAGGAGAGAGAGAAAAAGAGAGAGACTTGGCTGGATTGAAAACTAAACTACACAGCTTTAATAAAACACTAATGAATGATATAAGAGAATATATACAATTATATACAGATATATATTCAGGTATGGGCAAAAGCTTCTTGCCTCCCCCCACCCTTCTGCAACTCCCACAGCACTTCCCTGAGCCTGGGAAGAGTCCTGAGGAATCCCAGAGCTGCTGCTGGTGAAAGGGGAGAGTGATGAGGGTCAGGAGAGCTTGAGCCTGGAGGTCGATGGTGATGGATGAACAGAGTCCTCCCCGGACGCCGGCCATGGACGGAAGAGAAGGGAAGAAGAAAAAGGAAGAAAGTTGTCTTCTGTGATCTCTGACCTTCCTCTGAGCTTACGTAGATATATGGAATGGAATATCTTTGGCCAATTTTGCTGTCTGTCTAACTCAGCCTCCTACGGGGGGGTCACAGATCTCCCCGTAGTGTCTGAGCCAGCAGAGTGAAGGTGCAACCTTGAAGCCTCAGTAGTTAGAAAAACATTCTAGTGTCTTATCAACCTAGCAGAACATACAGTTGCTAGCTAAAAGAAAGCTTACTGAAGAGAAAAAAAAAAAAAAAGTAAAAAGGAAAATTGGCTTCATCCTGGCTCACACCAGGACACACATCAAGCTAATTCCTTAGGATACGTCTGTAGAAAACAAAGAGAGAATGAGAGCTGAAATCCACTTTGTTCCTCCTGCACCTCTCCTGCAGATGTCTGTCTGTCTCCTCAGTGTTTCCTCTCTATTCTTTTTCAGTTGGTGTGATGTGTATTGTTTTATGGCATTCCCCCATGTTATTAGGACACTAATACCCCATCATATTAGTTTTGTGAGCACAGTGTTAAGTATTTTTTATTGAGGGTAAATTTCATAGCATCAAAATTCTTGTGGTGATCAGTTAAATTTGTAATCTCATGAAAAGTATCCAGTTAGTTGGTCAAGATTTAGTCTATTTATTTTCTGTAGATATTACTGCTTTCCTGTGGATGTCTAATCAAATCCTAAATCCAAGCAGTTCTGTTGACTTGCATGAGAGTAACATTTGGCTGGGTCACTCCCACCCTGCTGCACGGGGTTTGCACTCACCTTGCCCGGAGACTGCTCCACGTTTCCAAGGTTCACCAACCCTCCAGGGTTTAGATTTTACCTGTATCTCTTTGTTTCCAATGTCAAATTTATATGATCTGCGCTTACTGCATAGCTCCTCAAGCTTGTATTCCTCTGTTAGACCTACCTACCTGC